TTATTTTTGGAACTCTATTGTGAGAGACCACAGCCTGATTGTTTGTCATTCTGTGGTGAATTGTGTGTAGCTGTGTTATTGGAAACTATGCCACTGGTATTTTAAATACTAGCAGGGTCACCCATGATGGACAGGATTCAACGGAGTTTCAGACTAAGAGAGAGTAGGAAGACGAAGAGATGGAGAGCTGTGCGCCTGTGCCTGGATAGGGAAGAGGTCCAGGGTCAGTGCCAACACATACCTGCCATTACTGGAGATGCCAAGGCTTCCCAATAGCCTGAGATTGTGAAGGAGGTAAAAGGAATTCATTCCATTCAGCCCAGATGACACAGGGCAGATGGGTACTAATCATAGGCATATAGCTTTCTCTTCTTCTTCTTCTTCTTCCTGGTTCCTAGATAAGATACTCCATTTCCTACTCAGTCACACGTTCAACCACAAGAGAAGAAAATAGATTGGGCTTGTAAAACCAGCCTCAATCAAATTTGGCCCATCTGACATGTTTAGCAGGTGCACCAACCATACATACACTTTGGGTGAACCTCTGACTTGGCAAAGCTAAAAATACACTTGCATGTGTTGAATTCTCATAGAAACCATGGGAAGCACGTACTGTTCTACCCATTTTATTGGTGAGGAAAGTGAGGCTCAGAGAAATTATGCTAATTGGTAAGTGATAAAGCTAGAAACCTCCAAGTGTATACTCCAGGCATCATCCTGTGCCTAAGACTTGCTTAACATCATCTGTAGTAAGAGATATGTGCCCATTGGCTGGTAGTTGCGAATAAAAATAGTGCTGAGGCCATCTGATGTCAGTGAGGTAGCCCCTGCAAACCTGGGATTGTTTACTTCCATGTCATCTGAGTGGGGAAGAGTGGTGAGAATTGATGAAGTAAGTGTTGAAAACAATGGCACAGAATGTTGGATGCAAAGATTATGAAGATATTGTCTCTATTTTTGTATATGCTTGGTTTCCTTATAATGAGTAATAAACCTTAGAAGGTTGCTAGCACACACAAATTGAAAAATATTC